CAGCAGGTCAAGGCTGCGGTGACTGGGAGCGGCCACTGTACTCCAGTCTGGGCGACAGAGTGAGACTCCAACTCAAAAAAAACAAACAAAAAACCTCTACCTTGCTGCAAGTGGCAAAACCCAGATCAGTAAGACAGGCTACATCCTTTTGGGAGCTTTTGCTCAGTCGGCAAACACATTCCATAAAGGGCTAAATAGTACATATTTTAGGCTTCACGGGCCAGAAGGTCCCTGTCACAACCCCTTAACTCTGCCATTGTAGCATGAAAGCAGCCACAGGTGGTAGTAATGGAATGGATGTGGCCGTGCTCCTGTAAAACTTGTAGTAAAACAGACGCTGGGTACTGATTCGGCCTGTGGACCATAGCTTGCCCATATCTAGTCCCACAGTGCTTTGAACATAGTAGATGTCCAGTATATCCATACTGAATTGGACCCATATTTCTTCCTCCTGCGAACTGATCTTTCTGCCCTTTGCCCTTTTCTTCTGCAGTATGTGGGTGCCCCTGTGGCTTACATCCAGCAGATATTTGTGAAGACCTCAGTGTTTCCCTGGCACAAGAACCTCCTGGCAGTAGATGTGTTCCGCTCACCTCTGTCCCGGGCATTCCAGCTGGTGGAGGAGATCCGGAACCACGTGCTGAGAGACAGGTACCCCTCAGGGACCCTGGCCTTCCTGAATCCCATTCTGTAGTAAAGGGAGACTTACAGTCCTCAGTGTGACCTCCGTGAGCCAGCCAGCTCTGCAGAAACAGAACAAGCAAGAAGGATGGAGGGTGAGCCAGCCTTGACTTTCTCAGTATCCTCGTGGGTCCCGTGGACCCATGCAGATGGCATGGATAGAGCCCTGAGCTTCGTCCTTATGTCTCAGACAGTCACTGCCCACTGGCTGATTCTGTGACGAGCTGAATGATGACTGACTGACTTGTGACCTACTTGGCTTCCTGCCTGTGGGTTTTGAGATGTGAATGTAAACGGTGGTGTCACTGCTGACGAGAAGCAAACTCTGCCTGGGACTACTTTCTGGAGCCCCAGTCCATGTCGTGCTCCCCAGCCCATCAGTGGGCCTCTGATTATGCTAGCTTCACACAGTGCATCACTGCCAGGTTTCAGTTAGCTAAAGGCTTTGACAAACATTTTGGTGAAATAAATGACGCCCCTAATTTTTACCCAGTCCCTGCTCACCCACTGAGTTGGCTAAGGTGTTTTAGTGTGCTGGATGTGCATGCTCCCATAGTCCCTACACTTGCCTCTCCTTGGAGGTGATGGGCTTTTGGGCTCTGGATCCACTTTGCAGGTCAGATAGCCACATAGTTAGGTTATTGAAGTACTTTCCCCTGTAGCCTTAATCATCAGGCTCTTTGGAGATAGCAGAAGCAAATATGGGGCATTGAGGAACCTGATGACAGAGGGTTTCCCGTAAGTTCAGTGGGTATGCATGTGGTGGCAGACATGACAGGTGCGTCGTCCTGTCTCCTGCACAGCTCTGGGACCAGGAGCCTGGAGGAGGTGTGCCTGCAGGTGACCGACCTACTACCAGGCCTCAAAAAGCTCAGGAACCTACTTCCAGAGCATGGATGCCTGCTGCTGTCCCCTGGGAACTTCTGGCAGAATGACCGAGAACGCTTCCATGCTGATCCTGACATCATCGGGACCATCCACCAGCATGAGCCTAAAACCCTGCAGACTTCCGCCACACTCAAAGGTAGTCCCAACACGGGTTCCCTGAGGACCTGCAAAGGTGCCCACTGGTCACCATCTCTTTGATGGCACTCAGGCAGATCAGAGTTCACCCCTAGTTTCCAAGGGTTGGGGTGGGAAAGGGTTCCTTGGTGGCTCTGCAGTAGCTTCATTTCTCTGTCAGTATGTGCTGTTTTCTACCCGCAGACTTGTTGTTTGGTGTTCCTGGGAAGTACAGCGGGCTGAGCCTTTACACCAGGAAGAGGATGGTCTCCTACACCATTACCTTGGTCTTCCAGCACTACCATGCCAAGTAAGGCTCACAGCACCTGGGGCTCCTGATTGATCTGTGGGGTGACAGAAGGCTTTGAGTAGTCCCTGTTTTGGAGTGTCCAGGCCTCTTGTTGAAGTGTTGATATCCCTTAGAATGAAGGATGTGGTCTGCTACACTTGAACAGGGGTGACTTGCCATTTAGTTAAGCATAAGGAACTCAGGCAAGGCTGGCCACTTCAGTGTCCTGGCGCCTCCTTTGGTCTCTCTTGAGCCTACGGCAGGTGTCCCCAGCTGATTACTGCTGAGCCCCACCTGGCCTGAGTTCTTCCAGTGGAGCACTGCAGGCAGCTCCTCACACTTGAGGTGCCTTTGATGGGCTCTCCTGGGCCTTTGGCAATCAGAGTGGTGTAATAGGTCAGGAAAGGAATAGGGGGTGCTCCATGGACAACTTTACCACTCTTTCTAATTCTTCCAAAGCCCCTGAAAACTATAGAGAAGCTTAGACACCATATAGAAGTTCCCACCCAACCTGGGAGGGAGGCCCTTCTGGACCCTCTATCCATTGATTGTCTGTGTCCCCTGAACCAAGAAGGACACTCCATCTGTCCATAATCAGGTTTCTGGGCAGTCTGCGTGCCCGCCTGATGCTCCTGCACCCCAGCCCCAACTGCAGCCTTCGGGCAGAGAGCCTGGTCCATGTGCACTTCAAGGAGGAGATTGGTATTGCCGAGCTCATCCCCCTCGTGACCACCTACATCATCCTGTTTGCCTACATCTACTTCTCCACACGTAGGTCTATGGCAGGGAGGGTGGAGCTTTCCCAAGCTAAACGGGCATTTCCACATCACCTACTTCCCTCACTCTGGAGGTGCTCGGAGCAGAGACATAGATACCTGGTAGTTGCGAAAGCCAGGCCTTCATCTCCCCGTAGAATCTCAGGGGCTTGGGTGGGTCCAGGGCTCTTCTCATCTCTCAAAAAAAGACCCTTCCTGGGTTAGGGTTCTTAAAGCATGTACTATGTCTCTGTGACTGGGGAGTGTTTGTGGTTGTCCCTTTCTTCCAGTTAAACCAGGAACTTTCCCTTCCTCGGTTGTCAGGGCACACGACTCCCAGGAGCTCAGTTAAGAAGAGCCCGTGTGGGCCAGGGGCTGGGTGAGGTGCTACGCTGATGTGCCCTCTCTACCCTCCAGGCAAGATCGACATGGTCAAGTCCAAGTGGGGGTTGGCCCTGGCTGCCGTGGTCACGGTGCTCAGCTCGCTGCTCATGTCCGTGGGACTCTGCACACTCTTCGGCCTGACACCCACCCTCAATGGCGGGTAGGTCCCCAGCAGGCTCCACTGGGCCACAGGGTGGGCCCTCAGGCTAGAGAGCCTTGCACATCTGGGCACTTGGCCTTCCCTGGACTGGATGCTTGTGGTTACCCCATGTCTTCACATTGTTATTTTTGACATTTAAGAGGTACATTTTCTTCAAGTTATCTGGCTTGTATTCATACATGTGTGTATATATAGTGTATCTCTCTCTATATGTAATATATGTATAGGGTTTTGTCTGTATATACATACATGTGCCTATTTGTGGTCTATGTGAGTGTGTGTATATGTAGGCTATGTGTTTATATATCTGTCTTAGTGTGTGTTTATATGTATATATGATTATGTGTGTTTGTGGAGGTGTTTATTGCATATACACATGTATATTGCTGCTTGAGGGCTTAAGCCACACAAGTGTGTGAGAGAGAAAAGGATACGTTTCTTTCTTTTTCATCATTGGAACATTTAATACCTAATAAAATAGGTCATTTTAGAGTAAGCTTTTTGAGAGATACAAGCACATTATAATTTGTCACCTTTTCCACTGATGTTTACTTTCCCTTGCCATTCCTCTCTGAATCTTAATCTGAAAGCCCTTCCCTGTGCTTGTCCTCAGGCTTTGATCTCGGTTCTGGCTAGGCTCTGCCTGCCTGCCTACTAATGGTTACTGCCCGATTGGCCTGTCCCCCACCTTGCCTCATCCGGCTGGTCATGGGAAAAGCGATTTGGTGTTTGTTTCTGTTACTTTCCTTGCTCATAAACACCTGCTTCCCCTCCTGAACCTGACGGTGTTAGACACCGCCCCTGACCTCCACTGTCTGCTGACCCTCCTCAGAGCCCTCACTTCCTTCAGTTCCACAGCAGAGATCTTGGAGAGGTATAACTCGGCTGGTGTTCCTTGTGTGTAGAATTCTCCTGTAGTCCCTTCCTAGGAGTGCGGGGCAGTGGACTCAGATAGCTAGTGGGGTTTTCTTTAGGAACAGTTCTTGTACACACAGTTTTCCCACAAGGTGAGTAGGGCTCTGGGTGGTTCCATCCCCTTCTGTTTAGTTGTGATGGCTTGGCCCAGAGGTACTAGTGTGTGTCTTGGCAGCCAGCAGAGTCTGGTGGGGGGAGGGCCAGGAGAAGTATGGTCTGACAGTGGGGCAGGAGAGCCCTCCCTGAGGGGCCTCTGGCAGCCCTCCTCTTGTACTGTATTGGTGGAGACTGGGATGGTTGCTGGCCCTTAGACAAGGCTTCGGAACCTGTCTAAAAGCTGAGAGCTGTGTAGATAGTTCTTGCTGGGTGGGGTGGCAAGGGGAGGCTTTCTGCCCCGTGCCTGTGGGAGTCCCTTGGCAGCCCCGGCCACAGACCGGAGACCTTGCAGCCTCCTTGGGGGTCCAAGGCTGCCCAGAACAGACCTGTGTTGGGAGCTGCCTCAACACTATTCCTCGCCTTCTCCTTCTCTGTCCCCAGCGAGATTTTCCCCTACCTCGTGGTGGTTATTGGGTTAGAGAATGTTTTGGTGCTCACCAAGTCAGTGGTCTCAACTCCAGTGGACCTCGAGGTGAAGCTGCGCATTGCCCAAGGTAACAAACAGTGGGAGAGTGGGGAGGCCGCTGCAAGAGGGCCTGGGGTGGGGGTGGGGGCTGTTCTCTTACTGCTGCGTTCCCTGAGGAAATAGGGAGCCCCTGAGCCTTCCCTTGCCCTGGCCTTCAGCATAACATGCAGTGGGCCTCTGGGCCCTGGCAGCTTGTTAGCGCGTGTTCTGAGGGGCTGCAGGACTGTACTTTGTCCTGGTTGATGTGCCAATAAACAAATGAGACCCTGGTGCAGGGCTCATGTTTGGTGGTGGCTTTCTATTTGGGAAGTTTAGTGCCTAGTGTTTTCTTTTTCTGCTCCACTCCACTAGGCCTGGGCCCCTATGGCTAGTCAAAAAGGTACTTCCTCCACTGCTGCCAGAAAACCCCCTCTGACCTCGGTGGTAGGAGCTGGGGAACTTGGGAAAGTGAGAAAAGAGAGTTTAGCCCGGAGGTCTGGTCTCTTGAGCCTCCTGCTCCTCCTAACCCCATGTCTGTGAGGAGGTAGGTCGTTCACTCAGCAGAGCCTCGGGAGCTTCTGATCGGCCAGGCCTTGCTCTGGATGTGGAGTTAGGGAGAAGTGAAGTGAAATGCTTCCTGTCCACTAGGACCTTGTACATGCAACAGTGTGATACTGTGGGGCCCTGGGGCTCACCGTGGGGAAGGGCTGGAGGAAGAACAAAGCTAGCTCTTCCATCCTTCCAGCCTGTCTGCACTCTCCTTGCTGGCCTATGCAAACTAGGCAAGACTGGCATGTGGAGGTTGGACGTGGTTAGAGTGGGTGGCACTTGGCTTTCCTCGTGGGTTTTCTCATCTCAACACCCTGTTTCTCCCTTCTTCTGATGGTTGTGGTCTCCTTTGTACTCTCTAGGTCCCAAAAGCCCTGTTCCCTCTAGCAGCTGTGGGGTGGTGGCAACACCATGGAGTCTGGGTGTTGGCAGAGTCCTGAGGGTTGGGGCGCTTTGGTGGAACAGCTGCCCCAGAAGGTTGGGCACCCTCCCCATGCCTGTTGGCTTTTGAGGCCCGTGAGGTTGTGTGCAGACATGTACAAGAGAGAGGGCCTGTGCTGCCTCCATGCCCTGTTGCTGCTCTCTGCAGGCCTAAGCAGCGAGAGCTGGTCCATCATGAAGAACATGGCTACAGAACTGGGCATCATCCTCATTGGCTACTTCACCCTAGTACCTGCCATCCAGGTAAAGCCCCAAGGCTTCCTGCTTGAATGAGCTTGGAAGCAACTGCTGTGCTTTCCAGCTGTGCTGCCGTGGACAGGGTGCCTCTTTTCCAACACAGATGTCCTTGCCTGTGAGACGGGACCTCTTTCCCTGGCAAGCTGGTCACTCCCACACACACAGGGCTCAGAAGTCTCTAAGTAAGCCCTGGCTGGGTTCTGGGATTGAGCCTAGCCAGGCAGGCTCTTACCCTTCCCTGCCTGCTTTCCCCTTCTCCCATGGCAGGAGGAGGCTCTGTGAGCATGCAGAGGCTGAAGGCCAACTGTGCAGTTCCAGTCATACCTGCTTTGCCATTTCTCAGGGAGAAACACTGTGGGACCCCTGAAAGGGTCCCTTGCTGTCTCCTTTGGCTCTGACCCACAGCTGCAGCCTCCAGATGCATGGCCTGGTCTGTGGGAGGGCCACCACCCATTACCCAGAGCGGCCCCTGCTCTTGGCAGAGTGCCTTCCCTCCACTGTGGGGCTGTGAACAGAGGGAGGGGTGGCCCTGCGCCTCTTGGAACCCCAGGCTGCTGCCAACCATTCTGAGAAGTTGCAAGATGCCGTCGTCCTCTCCCCTGTCCTTCCCCCAGGGCTGGCAGGGGTGGGAGTGAGCAGAGCAGCAGGGCTCTGGGCTTCTCCTCCTGTAAGGGGTGGTGTCTGCAGGCCAGGGTGCAGTCTTGGGACGTTAGAGCTGGCCTGACCACTGTGCCGCTGTGTGCTGTTCCCCATCATCATCCCCCAGATTTGAGCAGCAATTGCAGTGATGTGCCAGAGGGCTCAAAGAAGGGCAGGGGAGGAAGACGGAGATCTCAGACAAGTCCATGTGGACAGAACTTGGGAACAGGGAGGTCGCCCTTTTTCAGTTTTGGAGCAGAGTTCATCCCTTCTGCCCTCTCCCTCTTTTCACTGGTCTGGTGCAGTCGCTGGTCAGGAACCCTCCTGAGAGCCCCCATATCGGGTCAGGCCTGGGCTCTGGCTGTTGGTGGTACATGAGCAGGGCCAGGGGCTGAGTGGGGGAGGACATTCTGGCAAGCAGACTGGTAGTGCTTAGGTTTCCTAGTTGGATCAGGCCTGCACTCCTCTCTAGGGGGTCAGAAGATTCAGGGAGAGCACTCACTACCCTTCAGTGCTCTGGGAGAAGTTGTGCGGGGTCTCTGCTGCCCTCTGGTGGAGACGGGGTGAGCTGCTGGTGCTGACCCTCCCTGGCCATTCCCAGATTCAGGGAAATGACCAGCATCTGTTTTCTCTCTCACTGCTGTGCCCTGTCTGCCACTGACCTGCCAATTCTGAGGTGCTGTAGCCAGGGCACTGTATTTCTAGGGCTCGGGGCCAGAAATCATGACACCCTCCATGTGCTCTAATTCCAGGAGTTCTGTCTCTTCGCCGTTGTGGGCCTGGTGTCTGACTTCTTCCTTCAGATGCTGTTTTTCACCACTGTCCTGTCCATTGACATTCGCCGGATGGAGGTAGGAGTGGGCTGAGCCCTGCCCTGCCCACCCTCCTCCTCAGCCCTGGCTGTGCTCGGGGAGCCTCTGGGTGAGAGGGGTACAGACCTTGGGCAGGGGCCATGTCCCATGCAGGCAGCCTCTGGACAGAAGACTCGGGCCCTGACCACAGCACTCCCAACAGCTAGCGGACCTGAACAAGCGGTTGCCTCCTGAGGCCTGCCTGACCCCAGCCAAGCCAATGGGGCGGCCAGTGCGCTATGAGCGGCAGCTGACTGTG